ATACAAGATTTTATTCTGTCGTTACTCCAAACCTAGGCCAAATAAACGACGCATGCAAACAACATCAATAAAATATAGTTATCAAAAGTTTAAGTTAGGTTGTTAAACACATTTCATCTGTGCCTTTGTTCTTGAAACTTACATTGCCTTACACTACAAGAAAAAAACATGTCAAAGGAAATGAATTTTTTTTTCGACACACATAATGCATTAAAAAATAGTCCCAATGGCCGCTCGAATTGTACTTTAGTTGGTAGGAAGGCTTGGCCCCGATCATCTTAACGATAAACGATATTATCGTTGGAAATAGAATGGTTATTTTCGAGGGTATAAATATTCATGTTGTTAAAATTTGGTTGACTATTTTTTTATGAGAAGTATGTCCTCCCAATAATGCCTTCATATTTTTTAAGGATTCGTTAGGAATTGGTCTTTATAGAGTCTTTTAAATTCTTTTTATTAATTTAGTCAATTTGTGCACTTATGATATTTTTTTCTTTATAAATAGACTTATCGGAGAATTTTTTATAGTCAATTGGAAGGAAGCTAAGAGGATTAAGATAGTTGTGTTCAACTTTCACGTTTTTTCATGAAGTCAAACATTCCAGTTCTGCAAATCAATCCCGTAAAAGTTACATTCTCAGTAAAATTGTGCAACTATGGGAGAATGAAGATTTGAAGGCTTTTCTAATTTTTCAAGTGTCGTGCCTTATATGCCTAGACATAGAGCTATAAGTTTCCTATTTTTCAGAATTCCACATAAATGAAGCTGGAACGACCCCAGATCTAGCATGAAAGATGGATCACATGTTCTCCCAAGTCAAGAAGAATTGTTTCTTAGTTTGTGTCCAATATCGTTTTGGATTTTGTTTTTCTAGGAGAGCTTTTACCAGACCTTTTAGTGTTTTTTTAGTATAAATATATGTCCTATGATCTCTCTACATGTCACCATACACACAAATTTGTCCAAAAGAGAAAGGGGTGCTTAGGAGCACATCACCGTTGTTATTTCGAGTACTATTTGTTCTTTTTCATGACTTATTGTTATTAATTTGACTATGTGTAACTAAACACCCTTGCTAGGCAATGATGAAACCCTAATATGATAATCTAGTTTTCTCATTTTGCCTGTCTTACGATTGCCTTTTAATATGGGATTCTTAATCACCGTGCTTATTATCTTGACGCTTAGCTACCATCAAAATTATTAATTGAGTTACTTGATGTAAATTAGACTAAATATTATAGCTAATTTGAGGCTTGCTTCTTGTGGTTAAGGGTTGTAATTCTTTTAGGGTAAACACCATATTCCTAGGGTTTGCATGAATTTCAAGGTTTTGCATGGTTTTCAAGGTTTTCACTAAACATAATGAGTTTTTGAAAGTTCATAATTGTACTAAATGCCATAGACAAGTTTTTCCTTAACTTTTTAGAGGGTCATGGTTTGAATTTTCATGTTATTGTGTGGAATTTTTATATTATTTTGTGGAAGCTTATGTATTTAATAAAAATAAACTAAAAAGATGATGGAGACGAGTTTTGAACCCAAATCCTAGGCCGCTGTAAAGAAGCAGTAATACCACTTGCGCTAAGACTCAAGTTTGTAATATTCTACACATGCTACTATATATATATATATATGTGTGTGTGTGTGTGTGTGTGTGTGTGTGTGTGTGTGTGTGTGTGTGTGTGTAAATGCATGCAAATTTGAAAAATCAGGGGCCTGTGCGGTGGCACCTATTGCACCCCCTCAGGGCCGGCACTGGTTGTAGGTGTTAATCTGGACATTCTCTTTCTTTTGTGTCGATTGTTAGTTTTGAGTCCGTTTAGTTTTGAGTCCGTGTGTAATGGTTGCTTGGGGCACACGTTAACTTTGGTGGGGGATAATGTCTATGAAACTTCAGCTACTTTCCAACACTCAATTACCTTTCAGAGTTCAAATTTCAATTATGCAGATGCTGCATTCATGGTCATCTTCGCAAGACACGTTTGAAATTTGATAGTAAATCTCTTAACAATTCCAAGTTTGATTCAAGCTTCATTCGTTCGTTAAATGTTAATTTATCTTTGTTATTAGCCCAGCCCACACAAATAATGGAGAGATAGTGTGAAATTCCATCCCCGGAATTTCACCAATTATTACATATCTTGTATTTTAAAACTCGTATCTCGCGCTTATGTTAACTTTATTAGTTAATTTTAATTCCATTAATTTTAAGTTTAGTAATTGATTAGTTATCGAGTTGGAAAGTTCATAATCAATCTTTATCTTTTGTCGATATTTCGAGGTTACAACTACTGTTTTTAAATAGCCTCGAACCCACGAACGCATAGGTGAAAGCTGTTTGCAAGTCCGAATTATAAGGGTATAGTTACGGATGTTTGAAGTTGTGAACTATAGATTGTGAGAAGCATGGATTAAAGGTTAAGTTAAGTTAGTAGAGAAAAAAAAACGAGGAACCTGTTAGATTTTTAAAAAGGGAACTTTAACGAAAAGCACCTGGTACTGTTCACTTTAACGAAAAATCACATTTTTACACTAAAAAGTCAATCCTGGTACTATTCACTTTACCCTTTATATTGTCCTTATCATTAAAACTCAAAGTTTTCAAGCATTTTTCATTAGTTTTCATTTTTGAAAAAGGGGTATTAAAGACCCATTTGGAAAGAAAGGCACGGCACTTTCTTTCCCTCTAATTCGTGAAAACGTGAGGTCCACAGCCAAATTTCAAACTGGCCAATTTCAGGCTATTTCTTCCATTTCCCAGTTGATTTTCCTACCTCCTTCACCTGCAACTTGCTCAACTACCTTCCTCCTTCCCTTTCTACCAAAAATCAGGGGTTTTTAAGGTTTATTTCATGTAGAACTCCATAGGAGAACCCGGAGGTTCTCGATGATAAATTGTCATTCCGGAGAGTATCACCATTCACCATCACCCTTAATCAACTTCCCTTGGACCCAAGAACAAGACCCAACTGGTGGTTGGAGCGTTGGAACACCAAGGAAGCCGAATTTAAGGACACCCACCTTAGGGTTTCGTTGGGTGCGAGCCAATTTGAGGGCTTTCCTGGCCAAATTGGACTCGACCACAGGTATAAAATTTACTCTACTTGTTGAAATCTTTATTCCTGTAAAATTTGAGAATTTTTTGAGAAAGTCAAATTTTCTGGTGTGTGACATTCGATTTATAAAAATGTTGTTGGTTGAGTATTTTATCGATAAGCTCCGCCACTTGATTATTCTAGCGATTGATGATCTTATCATTGAATTGACACCACTTTTAGTATGCTATGGTAGATAATGTTTATGGACCTTAGGGACTTACAAGTGAAAATCTAGTGATTGGATATTATGGAATAAGTGACAGTAAGATCAAGGACCCTACCTTAAAATGACAGTTCGATTCCTTATTAAATGTTGTTGTGGGAAATATATAAGAGTTTTAAGTATGTGAATTATCGAAGGAAATCTAAATGTGGTTTGTACCTTGTTAGGCGGTGATAGAACGTGATGCCTTGACTCTCGTGTTTGAGTGCGTTAGTGTGGATCTCAGGTGAGTGGTTCTAATCTATGTATTATGGTTATTGCTTTGAAATCCTCTGTGCTAATAAACTTTGTGGTTATACTATGGATTCTCAAAATAGTTCTGATGCTAAATAATTGTTGCTAGTAACGTCGATATACTTATGAAACATTAAGTGACTTGGATATTTGAACTGTGATGGATTGTGTTTTGGTATATATATGTGATGGTTGATAAAAATGATGGATTGCGTTTTGGGATATATATGTGATGGATGATAAAAATGATGGATTGTGAAGGACCATTACCCTAGTGTCATGGGGTTAGGTGACACTAAGTCTGCACCACATAGCAATGGTCCTGGATGGTCCTACTTGGTTTATCCGCGTTAGGGGACCATACTATTTGTGGATCGCGCTTGGTTAATCCGCGTTGGGCGATCCTTATAGCCTAGGTATGGCCATACACATTTAAAGGTGATCATGCTTGGTTAATTCGCATCGGGTGATCACCTTCCAATAGTTATAGGAGTGACTCTGCTTGGTTAATCCGCATTGGGGGGTCACTACCTATTTGGTTATTTTCTTAGGGGTGACTCTGCTTGGTAATCCGCAATGGGGGTCACTACCTTCTTGGTTACTTTCTTAGGGGTGGCTTTGCTTGGTTGAGCCGTTTTGGGGGGCCACTTCCTAATTGGTTATTTGCGTAGGCTTCGGCCAAACGACGTCTCTCTAAATCTAGTTTTGAATATATATGTGAATGTGGCTTTGAGAACTTTGAGTTTTGATTTAGAAAACTCGTTGGATGTATGTGTGACCCCTTCGGAGGTTGCAAGGTTTGGTAGCGATTTCTTATAAATGATTTATATTCAAGGTTTATAATTGTGAATGGTGGTTAGTTTTATTATTAGTATCGTATACTTGTATTATTTATCGCTCACACAAGCTTCGTAACTTATCTGGGTTGTTGTTTGCCCGGTGTACTATTTCGATGGTGTAGGCACTGATCTTACAGGTAACAAGTATGAGTAGCTTCGAGAGGTTCGTAGGTGGGGTAGTGGTACAATTATCAGAGATTTGGAGTGCTAGGTTACCCCTATATCCTATCTTGTACTTTATTTTTTGGGACTTTCTTTTGAGCACCTCAATCTGGTTCTTAGTAAAGTAAAGATTATGCTTCTTTTTGGGTTGTTCATATTTGTAAATATTTTGCGGAAAACTTAGCCACCTTCATATTATTTTGGTTTATCAGTTAAAATATTTTTATTCCATAACTTATATCGTATTCAATGGACGTTATTTTCCTTGTCACGTGTTGATTCTCGACATATGTTGGGATCAAATTAGACTAAAAAGGAAACAAAAAACCGGAGATAATCAAATTAAATATGAAGGGTATTATAGTCAAATTTTAGTTTGAAGGTTTAGTATTTAAGTAAGGTTTAGCATACCATATAATCCAACTAAAACAAAACAAAATAAAAAAGAACTCATGCAACCGCAATCTCTCTATGACAAAAACCATGTACCGCCGAACCAAAGGCACATCGAAGGCGAAGGATAAGTCCAAGTCACTCGCCGGACAAGGATTCGGGAAGGGGAAGAACCCAATTCCAACCCAATCGACGAAGCTCCGAGGTGAGATTCGGAGTCCTTTTGGTTTGCTTTTCAATTTTCGTTTTTAGGGTTTGTGACGAGGAAGATTATCTGTAATTTCCAATTTACAAAAGCATAACTGGCCTACATATGCTCATTGCAATCTGCATATATTTTATTATTTTAAGGGTTACAGAGCTTGAACTTAATTAGGGTTCTTGATGCCTTGTTCATAAAAATTCAAAATCCCTTCTTATGTTGAAAATATGTGTTTTATTTTATTTTATATATTTTATAAATTAATTCGTTTAATTATTAATAGCTAGATATTCTTTCCACAGTCAATTAAGATACTTGATTGATCTGCCTGGTTACTGAGGATAATTTTCAACCGAATTTCGTAGCTAGCTAGATGATATTCTATTCACAATCAATCAATTATCGCAATTTAGTTTGATTTGGCCAGGCCGGTTACTTGTGTCGAAAGAATTTTCAACAAAACTTCGTAGTCGTAGGGGAGTTTTAATTTCCAGTAGCTATTTATTTTATACATATTTAACTTTGTTGTCCTAACAAATTAATCCAGAGTAGTAGCACGTAATTGAATGCATAAACATGTAATTCACAATACCAAATTAACCACTAATATGAGGACGTCGTTGCTGCAATGAACTTAGAGTTCTTCTAGTCTCTTCACTCACTGTATACACCCCTTGTTGTTGGGTGTTTTCTGTATTTAATTTGGCTTCCTTTGCTCGCACATGTATTGGACTATCATGTCTGTGCATTGCCTATTAATTTGGATCGACGCTTTGCTTTGGTTTGATTTGCGTGCACTGGTGGTGTTTTCTTTGGGGGTGTGCGTGTATTTTTAATCAACAATTGTACATACACCTTGCCCTCAAGAAGGCAAGCTTCTTCATTTTCGAGTCCTCGTTGATCTTTCAAGTTTTGTGGATTTTCGGTTAAGTGATGGTTGTAGGCAGGGCCGGCCCTGAGATTTTAGGGCCCTATGCGAAAGTGAATTGGAGGCCCTAAAAGGCACCAAGAATTTTATTTTATTTTCTATATTTTATAAATTAATTCGTTTAATTATTAATAGCTAGATATTATTTCCACAGTCAATTAAGATGATTGATCTGCCCGGTTACTGAGGATAATTTTCAACCAAATTTCGTAGCCAGCTAGATGATATTCTATTCACAATCAATCAATTATCGCAATTCAGTTTGATTTGGCCAGGCCGGTTACTTATGTCGAAAGAATTTTCAACAAAACTTCGTAGTCGTAGGGGAGTGTTAATTTCCAATAGCTATTTATTTTATACATGTTTAACTTTGTTGTCCTAACAAATTAACCCAGAGTAGTAGCACGTAATTGAGAGTGAAGCCGTAGTAGTAAGTATTTATAATGATTGATTGAGATCGAGAATATAACGGAATTAAGGACCTGGATCCGGATGGCCTACTTAGCTTATCAATGTTAGTAATATCTGTACATTTTCCCAAATACGCAGAGAAGAAGAAAGAAAAAAAGGCGGTTGTTAAAGACTCTCCGACGATTCACCTCAAGAATGTAAAGGCTGCTGCAGACTTACTGGCTCAAATCCAACTAGAGGAGAAGAGTACTAGCCCAGCTTTGTTCAAGGAGGACAAAATTCCCAAATGCATAGTCGAGCCACGCATAGTTTCCGAATTGCCATCTAGTTGTCCAATATGCACTAAGTTGGGCCACGCTCCTGAACACTGTCCATGGAGGAGACGTCTCCCCTTCGGCGTAACTCAAGTTGGCAAGGGCTATGAAATATACGGGCGGCGTGTTAATATCCTTTGGTGTTCCTTTTGTGATGAGATTGGTCACAGGACTTCAGAATGCCCGGAGCCGAACAAAAAGATCGAAAAAACTAGATTATGGGAAGAGTTCTTCTTCCCTGAAGATAAGGACAATTAGGGTCCTCCCAGTCCTACCCTTTTGAGCAATGATATATCATCCTTCTGATTTATCATTCGTTTCAGCGCGCTATATTACATGTTCTTATGGATTTATGTCTGACTTGGAATACTTAAGCTAGATAGCTCAATCGTTGCCATTCGTGGCTGGCAGATATACATGGTAGAGTTTTCTGTGTTTAATATGGATTTGCTTTACTTGTACTCCTGCTTTTGGGATATTATTTTATGCAGTGCCTATTAATTTGGGTCGACCCTTTTGCTTTGATTTGCATATGTGTTGGTGGTGTTATTAATTGATAATTGTTACACGTGATTCTGAATAAAACTAATCATCAACAAAAAACGGTGTTTGTGATACCGTCGGTCTCTTTATGCTTAGAAAATTGTGACGATAGTACATTGCCGGAGGGATCTTGTCGAGTTGCTGAGCTCTTAGTCTTGCTTCCTTGGCCATGCGCTTCTCACTGTTTATGTGTTGACCTAAGCTTTTCTCAGTTGTTTCACTAAGCTGGCGCAGGGTGCAACTACATTCCTCTCTGGGTTCGTTTTCAACCCAAATGTAGGCAGCTCACCAGCACCCACTGTCGATGGGGTTTTCCGCTCGACACCAGAAGTGTTTGCGTTAGGTTTTTCCTGCAACAGATATATTTATACACAGTGTATTGCTGCTGCATAACTCAGCCAACGAATTAATCGGACATCAATGGTATCTGTGAAGGCTCAAGCACTCGGGAATCTTGTTTCCCAAGTAATTACGTATTAAGGGACGGCATATCTCGCACAAGACCACTATAAGGGACTGGTCCAAATGCACAGGGTCCTCCAGGAGAGCCCACAAATGAAAAAAATCAATTTCAAACGATCCACCAGAGCTACATATTGATTTACATCATCCATGCTTCTGATCGTAATTACAAAATTTTGTGAATCGATAAAAAATTTTGAGGCAAAATTACCATCAAGTTGGTTTAAAAATCTATTAAAACTGATTACGTAGCATAAATATAACTTTGTTTTTGTGAAGTACCTGGGGTAACAAGTCATACTTTATATTTTGCAATCTCATTTTACTATTGTTTTTGTGCCACATGTCCAAAGAAAAATTCTTAGATTCTTAATTTTCTTATTTTGAGAATTTTTTGAATTCGAAACACTGACTATTATTAATTTTTGTGTCAAATTGTACTTATTAGGCACACATCTAAGCAACAATAGATTTTAGTAGTGGCGAATTCAGGTTTTGAATTTAACGGGTCTCAATGTTAATTGTCTATTTTTTTCAAAGAAATAGAGCATGAAGTGTGCAAAACAATTTCAATTTCTTTCTTGAGGCATTTCATTGAATACTTGATGTGTTTGTTGTCGTCAACCAAACCATGTTACATATATGTCAATATATGTCAATATATATCAACATATGCTGAAATAATCTAATAAGTATTATTGAGAGTCTGTCGAATGTTCTCAATATAACTTGCTGAACGAGCAAGAACAACAGACATTACATCAAATAGTTAGTGAGAGAAAAAGAAGGCATACCAAACCAAAATTAGAAGGCCGCTCTTAATTGGGAGTGTCCTGGGACAACCTACTTGTCTGTCCAGCGTGTCCCCACAGCGTATAAAAAGCCTTCACTCCAAAGCAAAGCGGCGGCGGGAGCAGCAGAGAGTCCCTCCCCACAAAACCTTAATAAAAAACCCTCGCACTACAACAAAAGGCAACGCCTCCATTTCCCTTTCGCTGGAAACTTGCCCCACCCGAAACGGCGTCGCACGAACGATACCAGAAACCCTAGATATACAGACAGAGCGAGAGAGAGACTAGAGCAGACGACATGTCGCAGTCACTAGAGCTCTTGCTGATACAATTCCTGATGCCGGACAACGACGCCCGGCGGCAGGCGGAGGACCAGATAAAGCGGTTGGCCAAGGACCCTCAGGTGGTTCCCGCGCTCGTATAGCACCTCCGCACCGCCAAGACGCCGAACGTGAGGCAATTGGCAGCAGTGCTTCTGAGGAAGAAGATCACTGGACACTGGGCCAAGCTCTCACCCCAGATTAAACACCTCGTTAAGCAGTCCCTCATTGAGAGCATCACAATGGAGCACAGGTCTGAATTTATCTCGATTGGATTGTTTTTTATTTGGGGTGATGCTTAATTGCTTGAGCTCCTGTGTGATTTATTTTCTTTGTATTTGAATTGGTTTGCTTATTGATTTCGTGGTGTTTATGCAGTCCGCCGGTGAGGCGAGCCAGTGCCAATGTGGTTAGTGTCGTCGCAAAATATGCAGTCCCGGCTGGAGAATGGCCGGATTTGTTGCCCTTTCTGTTTCAATGTAGTCAGAGTGCACAGGAAGAACATAGAGAGGTAATTTCCGTTGTGTTCTGAAGGAAGCCCGTTTATTTTTCCTTGTTGCGCTCGCTATATCGTTCCCCATGTTAGCTGCATTGCCCTCCATATTTAATCCTGAAAGTTCGTGAATACTTATGACATTACTCACAAGAGGAGGTGTAATGTTTGTTAAGCCAAAACCTTTGGTGCATTATTTGCAAAATTGAATAATTGTGACTTTAGGGGGTTGGGTTTTTTTGGCTGTTTTATGGGTAATATGGGCGGAAAGAAGTAGCAGAGAGGAGTTATGGGAGAAAATTTGTTTATTGTCTTCGGGATTTTAAAGCTGTTTTTTTTTTCTTTCCAATTTATGGCACGGAATATTGGGTGGTCAAGCATCAACACGGGCAAAAAATGAGTGTAACAAAGATGAGAATGTTTCGGTGGATGTGTGGACACACGGTAAAGGACAAGATTAAGAACGAGGATATCCGAGGTAAAGTAGGACTTGATATAATAGAAGATGAGATGAGAGAAAATCGGTTAAGGTGATTTGGACATGTGAATCGAAGACCTATAAATGCTCCGGTTAGAAGTTGTGATTATGAGACAGAGGTTTAGCTGCTGAGGGCAAAAAGGGTAGAGGAAGACCTAGGAAGACTTAGAAAGAGACTCTAAGAAAAGATATGGAGTACTTGGAGTTAACGGAAGACTTGGCGAAAATCGACCGCAGTGGTGTTCTAGGATTTATACAACTAACCCCACTTAGTGGGATAAAGCTTTATGGAGTTTTCGTAGCTGCTTTTTAGGGGGATTTCTTCTGTTGTTTCACTGATTGTTCTTTTTTTGGCTTTGTTTTTACTTTGTGAACATCTTGTTCACTTTTGTAATTTCATCATCATTTGCAATGAAATTTCATTTCTTTCTCAAAAGTAAAAAAATAAAAAGTGGCAAAAGGATTTTCTAGGAAAATTCTTGAAGCATGTTCAACCAAACTCTTTTGTTGGCGAGACTGTATTCTACAAAATATTGTTTACCGGAGACAAAATTTGTTTTTGGAATTGGGCATTCCACATCATTCAATAGTTAATGCACACTCTTGTTCATGCTGTTATGTAGTTCATATTCAATATACTGATTTATATGGTTGGTTTTGCTTTGTTGGAATAAGGTGGCATTGATCCTGTTCAGCTCTTTGACTGAAACAATAGGGAATACGTTTTGGCCACATTTCGCAGATTTGCAAGCTCAATGCCTGCAGGATGAGACAAGCAACTGTGTCAGAGTTGCTGCGCTCAAGTAATGCTTAGTATTTATCCATTCATAGTTTTGATATTTTATGCTTCTTTTGCTAACAAGTGATTAGCTTGTATTTTCTTAATTGAATCTTTTAATTATTGTGCCAGGGCCGTAGGGTCTTTTCTGGAATTCACTCATGATGGGGTTGAAGTGGTGAGTTTGTATTTATATAAAAAATGATATCAAAAATGAAACTAAATTATCATTAATAAATTCTTTTATTAGCAATATGTTCTTCAGTATTCTGTTTTATCCTTAATACTTGGGTAAGTTGGATAACCTAAAATGATGTTGAAGATGTAAATTTCCCATAAATTACTATGTGTTTACTATTCAGAATGATAGCACAATGCATTCTATTTAAAGAATGAAAGAAAAGGAAATTCAAGCACAAAGACCACTCAACAGATGAGCCTTTTGAAATATAAAGTAAAGCAACTATTGTATTATTTATAAGGTTCCATCACCGTAACAACAAGAGTTTCTATTTCTTGGTTGAGAAAAATGAACAAATAAATTCAGTCTTCTCTTGGTATGATGGAACATGCTCTTGATTGGTTGTGGTGAGAAAAAATTTGGTTTAGCGCATATATTCATTTCTCTTACATTACACTCAACTGTTATGTATTTGACAGACACATCAGACCTATGGTTATTTTTCCTTTGATGTATTTTTTTTTCTAGTGCATATGATCATATATATTCATTGGCTGTTACATCTTTAAACATACCTAATGCTTCAATTTCATGGGATCTGATCATGGCTTGCTATGTGCTCTATGGTTGATGAAAAATAGCATTTCAGAATAAAATTTTCACAAGAGAAAATTACTCTCTCATCAAAACCACAGGTGATAGTCAATTGTAAATTGGATTAATTTGAACACCAAGCAGTGACCACGCTAATCAAAGTTCTGAAATATACCAACATAAGAGCCCAAGTCTAATTGACCGAATATGACAATCTTATTACTTTGGCATTGTATTCCAAGTAATCTGATGTCAAGCATGCCAAACAGGCATTTCGTTTTTAGTGTTATTTTACATTTCTCCCAAATTTCTTACGTTGTAACTAATTAGTTTATTTTTGTTGGCATTTATCTTATTCATACCAATCTAGGTGAAATTTCGGGAATTCATACCTAGCATCTTAAATGTATCAAGACAATGCCTTGCAGCTGGCGAGGAGGATGTTGCTATTATTGCTTTTGAAATTTTTGATGAGTTGATTGAATCTCCAGCACCTCTTCTTGGTGAATCTGTTAAATCCATTGTGCAATTCTCTCTTTGAAGTTTTTTCAACTCAAAGTTTAGAATCTAATACACGTCATCAGGTTAGTATATACGGTCAAAAGTTTCCTCGCCTTTTCTCTATGAGCTCCTAGTCTTTGGTTGGGCTGATAAGTTTGGGACTGGACCTAACAGTTCTTGTTTGAGACTCAATTTTTTTGCCACTTCACCTCTCCCAGACCCTGCGTAAAGCGGGAGCCTTGTGCACTGGGTACGACCTTTTTATATTTTGGCCTTCAAGATACAAAAAAGAAATACTGAGACAACTGAAAACCATAGTAGCTCCCACCCGCTTACTATTTCTCTTTCTCTCTCTTTCCCCTCTCTCTGCAAACCGCGCAACTCTGCCCCTCACATATGATGCTAACCAGCTCTTGCAGATCCAGTTTACTGGATTTTGTGCTCTCTCTGTTGCTTGGGGTGCTTATTCCTGTCAGCTCTATCAGTTGTATGTGGGGATCTGTAGCATTGTATTGTGATTTTGGGTTGTTGCAGCCTAGGGTTTTGACCCGCGATCTGGGGGCCGGGCTGGTCGGATTTGATAGTTGCATACAGAGAGGGTAGGAGAGAAGAGGGAAATGAAGAGAGAGAGAGAGAGAGGAGGGGGCAATTTTCCGGCAGCACAGCTGTTACAGACACTGACGGAAGGTGGAGCTGCTGTGGCTTTTGTGCTTCTCAGTTTTTCTTTTTTAAATTTTAAACGAGTGAAAAATGGAAAGGTGAAGTGGCAAAAAAGAAAAAAATGAAAAACAAAGTTGGGTCCATCGGTAAACTGTTGGGTCCCAATAAGCTTGCCTGTAAGTTAACTTATCTGCTTTGTAATAAACAAAGGCTCTCTGTTTGTGAATACTCCTCATATTTGTTCTTCTTGTTGCTTTTCAGGCAATTCAGATAGTTTCATGGCTAGCAAAGTATAAATCCAATTCCCTCAAAAAGCATAAGCTGGTCATCCCTATTCTGCAAGTTATGTGCCCATTGCTTGCAGAATCAAATGATGAAGATAAGGATGATGATCTTGCTCCAGATCGAGCTGCTGCAGAAGTTATTGATACTATGGCTTTGAACATACCAAAGCATGTTTTCCACCCTATCTTTGAATTTTCTTCTTTAAGCAGTAAAAATGCAAATCCAAAATATCAGGAAGCATCTGTTACCGCTTTAGGTGTAATTCAGAGGGTTGTTTGGAGATGATAAAAGATAAGTTGGATCCAGTTCTTCATATTGTCTTAGGCGCTCTGAGAGATCCTGAGGAAATGGTTAGGGGGGCTGCATCATTTGCATTGGGTCAGTTTGCAGAGCATTTGCAGCCGGAAATTGTTTCCCACTATCAAAGTGTACTTCCTTGCATTTTGAATGCCCTTGAGGATGCATCTGACGAAGTGAAGGTATGTTTGGTAGAAGGAAATTAGAAGATTGGTATAGTTTATTCATATGTATTTGATAATGACTAAAACAATCTTTATGTGCAGGAGAAGTCGTATTATGCTTTGGCAGCATTTTGTGACAACATGGGTGAGGAAATTCTTCCATTCCTTGATCCGTTGATGGGAAAACTACTGGGGGCCCTCCATAATAGCCCTCGTAATTTACAGGAGACATGCATGGTATGGTGGTCTTCTTTGACCTAAAGATTTAAAGTAAATTAATTTTATATATGTGTGTGTGTGTATATATATATATATTCAGTGAATGGTTTGGTTTTAAATTTATTGATTTGCATCATTTTGCAGTCTGCGATTGGTTCGGTGGCATCTGCGGCAGAGCAGGCATTCGTTCCGTATGCTGAAAGGGTTTTGGAGTTGATGAAAAGTTTCTTGGTGCTTAGTAATGATGAGGATCTTCGTTCACGAGCAAGAGCTACTGAATTTGTTGGAATTGTTGCAATGTGTGGGGAGGCCCTTTTGGTTTCATTATGCAGTGTCACTACAGATGGAACTATTGAGTGGGAAGGCCCTTTTGGTTTCATTAGAACATGTCTCGACTTTTTCAACATGTTGGAGGCTTGTGAGAAGACATTATTTTTTATCTATCACCAAAGACTCGAGGGATCAAATTTTGGCAGATTTGTAGTTGAAAACATTCCGTAAGTTCATATATGGCTTTATTTAATTTATACATAGAAAAAACGTTTTATTTATTTATGTATTTATCTCGTTGAACTTTTATGTGGTTTTAGGATTGGGTATGAAAAGTGGAGCAAAACGGACATCGTGTGGCTTTGTTGCAAGGAAACTTTTGTCTGCATCACTTGACCTTGAAGGAAGCAGAAGATGTTGATACATTTTTTGACTCTATTAATTTAGTTACTGAACGTCCAGACTTTAGTACTGACGAGTTTATTTGAAAAGTTTTACACTTAATATGACAAAGTTGAAGAGAAACAAGAGAAAGAGAAAGGGGAATTTAGTGGGATTTGAGTCAGCCAAGTTCTCATACTACGAAGTCGCAACGTTCGAAGACTACGAATTGATTTATATAGGAAGGCCCACGGAAGACTTTTTGAAATCTTTGAAAGAAACGATCACACTTTTTAAAGGGGAGAATCCTCATGATAATCAAGTTTAACGGTAAAATAATTTGCTTTGCTTGTACTGGTGGATGTTTTCTATGATAGTTTGTTTCAAAGATTTCAAAAAGTCTTCCGTGGGCCTTCCTATATAAATCACTTCGTAGTCTTCGAACATTGCGACTTCGTAGTATGAGAACTTGGCTGACTCAAATCCCACAAAATTCCCCCTTCTCTTTCTTTTGTTACTCTTCAACTTTGTCATATTAAGTGTAAAACTTTTCAAAAGAAACGCGTCAGTACTAAAGTCTGGACATTCAGTAACTAAATTAGCAGAGTCAAAAAGTGTATCAACATCTTCTGCTTCCTTCAAGGTCAAGTGATGCAGACAAAAGTTTCCTTGCAAAAAAGCCACACGATGTCCGTTTTGCTCCACCTTTTCATACCCAATCCTAAAACCACATAAAAGTTCAACGAGATAAATACATAAATAAATAAACCGCCTTTTCTATGTATAAATTAAATAAAGCCATATATGAACTTACGGAATGTTTTCAACTACAAATCTGCCAAAATTTGATCCCTTGAGTCTTTGGTGATAGATAAAAAATAATTTCTTCTCACGAGCCTCCAACATGTTGAAAAGACATGTTCTAATGAAACCAAAAGGGCCTTCCCGCTCAATAGTTCCATCTGTAGTGACACTGCATACTGAAAAACAATAACAATCTTTGAATATCCTTTTTTTATGTTATGATTTTTAGTGTCTTTTCCTTGTTCCTGATTATTTTCTTCGGAATTTTCATGATCCTCTCATTCGTGTTCTGAGTTCAGGTATTACAGGATTTGTGATGAATCATCTTTATAATTATGTTGTTTGTAGAAGTTAGTTTGGCATTGAAACCTAGAATGTGCCTTCCACTAGCGTGTTCTTTAATCAATTCCCAGATACTATGGTGACATATTGCGTGGACTTTACCCACTATTTGGGGAATCTGAGCCAGATGATGCTGTCAGGGATAACGCAGCTGGAGCAGTGGCAAGAATGATAATGGTGCACCCTGAATCTATCCCATTGAATCAGGTAAGTGTCCTGATGACATTTTCTGGCTTAGTATTATCATTTTTCCATCATTTTGGTTTCATTTTGGTGAGCTTAAGTATATATCTCCTTGTTAAATTTGCAGGTACTTCCTGTTTTCTTGAAGGTTCTTCCACTAAAAGAAGATCGTGAAGAGTCCATGACGGTGTATAGTTGCGTCTCTACTCTTGTTTTATCATCTAATGCCCAGGTTAGTTCACAGCTCCATGATTTCAGTCTGAAACTTGTGTAGATTAAAATGATAAGATATGTATCATTTACACACACACACACACATTTATAATATATGTGTACGTATATTATACAAACTATGTGGGATCCCTATTTGGAAGCTCCCTGTGTATCGGGTAATCCTAGAAGGTGAACTTACTTGGTCTTTTCTGTTTTTCTTGTTTTCTTATCCTTTTTCTTTACGGAGTTGACCATAAGTTTTCTTACCCACTCATTCTATTTTCCAAGCAGATCCTTTTTCTAGTCCCAGATTTGGTTAATGTATTTGCTCAAGTTGTGGCATCACCAGTTGAAACTTCTGAAGTAAAAGCACAAATCGGAAGAGCTTTTGCTCACCTGATTTCACTCTATGGCCAACAAATGCAGCCCCTTTTGAGTAACCTCTCCCCTGCTTATGCAAATGCCCTAGCCGCATTTGTCCCGAAAAGCTGATTCGGGGTGGGCCAGTGACTTGCCTTCTCGTTGCATTTGCTCCAGGAAGCTGTTCGATTGAGCCTGTGGATTGTGATTCCTCACCAATAGTTTCTACCCGCCTTTCTTGCTGAGATTCTTTTCAACCGTGGTGTGTTGTTCCCATGTTTTATAGATGGGTTGGCTGAAATCTTGGAGGAGGACATCGTTCTATAAGGTAATGCCTGCGACCTAGGGTGAGAAAAGTAGCAAATGCCCTATGAGGCTTTGAAGCCTAATTTGCAAATTGCATTAACCTTCTATACGTGTTTTTGTTCATTCTTACAGGTGATCCTCCTCCTATTACCATCTCCATTTTTCAAGGCTGGTGATACTGCTTTTTCTTCTTCTTCCTTATTTTCCTGTGGTATCTTTTTCCCCCCGAATCTTCTTTCCATTATCCGGTCTGCGTTGAGCGTTCGTGTGCATTCTTTGATACTTTTATGTGCGTGATTTTATTATTTGTTTGAGTATCATGGTTGTCCGCTGTCAGGTTTCCATAGGTTTGAAAATTTCGCCTTTCCCCTCACAGAATTAGTGAAGATGATGCATACCCATAGTATATCAACGCAGCGTTGTCTATAAGTTATTGCTTGCAGAATCAAATTGCCAACGGTAAAATTGGCGCTTTCGATTTTCGGCAGTCATAGTAACAAGGTTACTTTTGTGTTATTTAAGAAATGTGTTTTGATATGTACTAATTTTCAGTTTGGACTTGAGTATGGTTAATTTATGTTTTTCCATGGTTAGTAACTAGAGTCGATTGGAGCGACAACTAAGCCATGTTGACAGAATCCGAAAGGGGAGTAATTTTTGCACGCCCCTCTAAATTTTAGCTCCCGGTTCTCCTATTTGTTCAACCCAATGGTTAGAAACAAATAAAGGATGTGCGAGAATTGAAAATGGCGTGCAAAAATCACTTTCCATACTAAATCGTTGTTATGTTGTGTAGACAGTTTGAGATAGAGGGAATGTGAGCACCATCTCCTTTGAAACAACAGGCTTTTGGATTGATTCCATTTGGAAACAACACAGCACAGCATAGCAATTATCATGCATACCAAAGTATAATTATTTGATACGAATACAACCTCGGTTCAACTCCGATAAACTTCGTATGGATGTATTTATGGAGAACAAGATACACATCTTATTGAATAAGCAAAGGCTAAACTCACAAGAACAAGTGAAACCAAGTACGTGAAATGAAACTTTCCGTTATTATTTTCCAACACCACCTTTCAAACTCATGCTTGTGGCGTCATGCTTCCCACAATAGTCCTTGACCGAAAAATCAAATCCCACGGTGGACATATTTTCATGATAATATTGAAGATATTCCACTAGGTCTATTGGCTTATACTGCATGGGGTGGTCCTCGTCCGTAAGCTCATTTGGTACATACATCACTCCTTTGTTCCAAAAGAATTGTCCGAACGAGTATCTTACCTTATTTTCCTTCAAAACGACTCTGTGCATACAAGATTTTATTCTGTCGTTACTCCAAACCTAGGCCAAATAAACGACGCATGCAAACAACATCAATAAAATATAGTTATCAAAAGTTTAAGTTAGGTTGTTAAACACATTTCATCTGTCCCTTTGTTCTTGAAACTTACATTGCCTTACACTACAAGAAAAAAACATGTCAAATGAAATGAATTGTTTTTTCGACACACATAATGCATTAAAAAATAGTCCCAATGGCCGCTTGAATTGTACTTTATTTGGTAGGAAGGCTTGGCCCTGATCGTCTTAACAATAAACGATATTGTCGTTGGAAATAGAATGGTTATTTTCGAGGGTATATATATTCATGCTGTTGGAATTTGGTTGACTATTTTTTTATGAGAAGTATGTCCTCCCGATAATGCCTTCATATTTTTTAAGGATTCGTTAGGAATTGGCCTTTATAGTCTTTTTAATTCTTTTTATTAATTTAGTCAATTTGTGAACTTATGATATTTTTTTTTTCATAAATAGACTTTTCGGAGATTTTTTTATAGTCAATTGGAAGGAAGCTTAAGAGGATTAAGATAGTTGTGTTCAACTTTCACGTTTTTTCATGAAGTCAAACATTCCAGTTCTGCAAATCAATCCCGTAAAAGTTACATTCTCGTTAAAATTGTGCAACTATGGGAGAATGAAGATTTGAAGGCTTTTCCAATTTTTCAAGTGTTTTGCCTTATATGCCTAGACATAGAGCTATAAGTTTCCTATTTTTCAGAATTCTACATAACTGAAGGTGGAATGACCCGAAATCTAACATGAAAGATGGAATTGTTTCTTAGTTTGTGTCCAATATCGTTTTGGATTTTGTTTTTCTAGGAGAGTTTTTACCAGACCTTTTAGTGTTTTTTTAGTATAAATATATGTCCTATGATCTCTCTACATGTCACCATACGCACAAATTTGTCAAAAAGAGAAAGGAGTGCTTAGGAGCACATCACCGTTGTTTTTTCGTGTACTATTTGTTCTTTTTCATGACTTATTGTTATTATTTTGACCATGTGTAACTAAACACCCTTGCTAGGCAATGATGAAACCCTAATAAGATGATCTAGTTTTCTTATTTTGCCCATCTTACGATTGCCCTTTAATATGGGATTCTTAATCAGCGTGCTTATTATCTTGACTCTTAGCTACCATCAAGATTCTTAATTGAGTTAGTTGATGTAAATTAGACTAAATACTATAGCTAATTTGAGGCTTGCTTCTTGTGGTTAAGGGTTGTAATTCTTTTAGGGTAAACACCGTATTCCTAGTGTTTGCATGGTTTTCAAGATTTTCACAAAACGTAATGAGTTTTTGTACGTTCATAATTGTACTAAATGCCATAGACAAGTTGCATGTAGAGATATACGGGTGAGCCTAAATACCATATTGGTAGTTTATGCGTAAGGAAAACTATTCAACAACATCAATTGAATTAATCAACGGATAGGTAATATAGAAGCTAGGTTGGATTACTAGTGGTGGATTTGATGTCCTAGTGCTTTCGTATCTTAATTTCCAAAATTCATCATTGTCTTGGTTTAGTTTATCTTGTTAATTTTAGTTTTAATCAATCCTTAAATTCAATTCGTTTGTATAATTAAGTTTGGCGTAATTATTGGTTTAAATGGTTTTAAGGCAATTCCTGCAAAATTGACCTCGTACTTGCATATCTATACCACTATTGAGTCGTGTGCTTGCGAGTTAATATTGGTTTAAGTTAATCTATTATTAGGTTAGTTTGAATATACATCAATGATTAATCACATTTTTAGAGAAGCCACATAACCGCTTATTGTTTTGCTAATTTGGCACATACATTTGCTAACTTCCGTCATGTAATAGTTCTTAGGTTATATATAAACTTCTGTTATCCCTCAAATAAAGCTTATTTGATTGACATCTTGTGATGACCATTTCATAACTTTCTTTTAACAATCCGAATCATTTATATTTTAATTCATTATTCATAGATTATCCTTTCCAATAAAAGTAAAAAAAAACTAGGCAAATCTAAAACAATTAAGAGATCCAATTGTAGTCAAGAAAAAGACGAATATAGTTCTTCAAAGGAAAAACTAAAATGACTATCATTTAATCCAACGATTATATGATTTTGGATTTGGATAATTTTTTAGAAGAATATATTTGAGAGAAGACCTTAATGATAGATGGTTAAATTGTTGAAACACATTGAGAACTGAGCCCTACAAAAAGGATGCCTGAACGACATATCCATGAAGAGAGAGCTAAAATCCATGAAACTAAAGCAAGATTAATGAAAGGGTGTTGACGCACCTGAAGTCCATCACCTGCTAGGAATAATAATGATGAAGGCAGAGGATCATAACCAATCCACTCGTTATCTTTTGTGCTTATCTCAACACCATACGATTCTTGATGGAGTATGGTAGTAAAACACTTGTCTGTATGATTGTGTAGAACAGTTTCAGTTTCATTTGTCTTGGGTTCATCATATTTTATAAGTAGGGTAATGGGCATGGTCGATTGGATGTGATCATCGTGGTATTTCTCTACGTTGTAGTTTTCAAATACCATTTTTGTCACAACTTGATTTAATTCTGTCATCACTTTTGAATACAGATCAGCACTCTCACTGCCCAAGATATAAAGAACAAATTATTATTATTAGGAAGAACAAGTATAACCGTTTAAGGACAGATTCGCATTAGCTTGTTGATAAAGAAATCAAAAGTGTTGATAACAAAACACATAGCAGTAAGTATCAAGATGTAGAAAAAACTGCTAAAACTATTGAAATGTGCAGTAATTTATACCGAAACTGGTCATTTCCTTCCGGCCAAAGTTGACGTGTGACGTTCTTTATTTTTTCAGTGCTTGAACGAAATGACATGGATTCACGGGTAGGTAGCCTTACGTAACCCTCAACTAGAGGTTTATCCTGAGGAAATTGTGCTTTAATTTCGTCGGGGAAATCAAACAACTCGTTGAATGTCCCAAACATGGTGTCATTAAGCTCCCGGGAAACTTTGTTGGGAAGGACTGCCAGGAAACAGGCAAACTCTTCGAGAGCATTACAAACGTCTCTGCGTACTGAGAGCCAAGAACTTGTCCCTGACTTCCAGCAATCCTCTTGGGAGAAATCTACTACTGGAATTTTGGTCGCTGTTTGGGTCCTGGAAGCCATCTTTTTCTTCTCACCAGCTAGCTAACTGATAGGTTTTGAGGCTCTACTCTTAATGATATATATATATATATATATATTGAACGGCAAGCTGTATGTTACTCTCAACCAATCCAAATTATATCTGTACGTAGAGTAAAACATGTAAATCTTTTTTCTCTTGTGTTGCACGCCTACTGACATAACCCTTCTATTTCTCTCCAATAATTCATCCAATTCAAAAACCCCCACCAACCCTACTATAAAAAAATGATGAATAGTAGCCACTGTGAAAACATGCAATTAATTATCAGATAACGGTAAGGGTGTTGGTTCATCGATCACCGTCATCTGCGTGTTGTTTTCTTCAGCACTATACGTACACTGCTTTTAGAGTCCAAAATGGCGTGAGTGGCGGAGCCAATATATGGGAATCTGGGGGGCTTTGAATTTTTATATGAACCCTGTAGTTTTTATAATAGGGAGACCACTATATTCTCAGACCCACTCTATTTGGCAGGAGAAGAACGAATCTTGTTCAGCACACCGGGCGAGGATCAAATGATATTTAAAGATTACAAATATTTTTTCCCATCTGCCTCACCCACCCACCCCCAACCGACACAACACCTCTCCATTTCTCTCCAAGAATTCATCCAATTCTGAAAACCTCCTCACCGACCCTTAAACATGCAGTTATCAGATAACGATACGGGTGTTGATCAAAGGGCGTGAACTTCAAGGCCTTCACCATCATGGCATCATCTGCATGTGTTTGGTATATATGGTTGAGCATGCAGGTTTATGTTCGAGTGACAATGGATTAGATCCCAACAACTTATTGCCACATCCGGACCAAAATATTGAATCTGTGCCATGTAGATTATTTAGGAAGATTGAATGTTCTTGTGCTTATAGATATGAACTTTGATTTCATCTTCAAAGCTCACACTGCTTTACACACACACACACACACACATTTATAATATATGTGTACGGAATCATACAAACTATGCGGGATCCCTCTATGGAAGCTCCCTGTGTATCGGGTAATCCTAGAAGGTGAACTTACTTGGTCTTTTTTGTTTTTCTTGTTTTCTTATCCATTTTCTTTATGGAGGTGACCATAGTTTTCTTACCGATTCATTCTATTTTCCAAGCAGATCCTTTTGCTAGTCCCAGATTTGGTTAATGTATTTGCTCAAGTTGTGGCATCACCAGTTGAAACTCCTGAAGTAAAAGCACAAATCGGAAGAGCTTTTTCTCACCTGATTTCATTCTATGGCCAACAGATGCAGGGCCTTTTGAGTAACCTCTCCCCTGCTTATGCAAATGCCCTAGCCGCATTTGTCCCGAAAAGCTGATTCAGGATGAGCCTGTGACTTGCCTTTGCTCCAGGAAGCTGGTCGATTGAGCCTGTGGATTGTGATTCTTCACCAATAGTTTCTACCCGCTTTTTTTGCTGAGATTCTTTTCCAATTCAAAGACCGCGGTGTATTGTTCCCATGTTTCATAGATGGGTTGGCTGAAGTCTTGGAGGAGGACATCGTTCTATTCTATAAGGTATGCCTACGACCTAGGGTGAGAAAATTAGCAAATGCCCCAAGAGGCTACGAAGCTTATTTTGCAAATTGCCTTAACCTTGTATACGTGTTTTCTGTTCATTCTCACAGGTGATCCTCCTCCTAGTAGCACCTCCATTTTCAAGGCTGGAGATACTGCTTTTTCTTCTTCTTCCTTATTTTCATGCAGTATCTATGTAGATTTTTGGTTTCAAAGTGTTTTCTATTTCATAAGGAATGTGAGCACCATATCCTTTGAAACAACAGGCTTTTGGATTGATTCCATTTGGAAACAACACAGCACAGCATAGCAAGAATCATGCATACCAAAGTATAATTGTTTGATACGAATACAACCTCGGTTCAACTCCGATAAACTTCGTATGGAAGTATTTATAGAGAACAAGATACACATCTTATTGAATAAGCAAAGGCTAAACTCACAAGAACAGGTGAATCTAAGTACGTGAAACTTTCCGTTATTATTTTCCAACACCACCTTTCAAACTCATGCTTGTGGCGTCATGTTTCCCACAATAGTCCTTGACCGAAAAATCAAATCCCACGGTGGACATATTTTCATGGAAATATTGAAGATATTCCACTAGGTCTATTGGCTTATACTGCATGGGGTGGTCCTCGTCCGTAAGCTCGTTTGGTACATATATCACTCCTTTGTTCCAAAAGAATTGTCCGAACGAGTATCTTACCTTATTTTCCTTCAAAACGACTCTGTGCATACAAGATTTTATTCTGTCGTTACTCCAAACCTAGGCCAAATAAACGACGCATGCAAACAACATCAATAAAATATAGTTATCAAAAGTTTAAGTTAGGTTGTTAAACACATTTCATCTGTCCCTTTGTTCTTGAAACTTACATTGCCTTACACTACAAGAAAAAAACATGTCAAATGAAATGAATTGTTTTTTCGACACACATAATGCATTAAAAAATAGTCCCAATGGCCGCTTGAATTGTACTTTATTTGGTAGGAAGGCTTGGCCCCGATCGTCTTAACGATAAATGATATTATCGTTGGAAATAGAATGGTTATTTTCGAGGGTATATATATTCATGTTGTCGGAATTTGGTTGATTATTTTTTTATGAGAAGTATGTCCTCCCGATAATGCCTTCATATTTTTTAAGGATTCGTTAGGAATTGGTCTTTATAGAGTCTTTTAAATTCTTTTTATTAATTTAGTCAATTTGTGCACTTATGATATTTGTTTCTTCATAAATAGACTTATCGGAGAATTTTTTATAGTCAATTGGAAGGAAGCTAAGAGGATTAAGATAGTTGTGTTCAACTTTCTCATTTTTTTCATGAAGTCAAACTTTCTAGTTTTGCAAATCAATCCCGTAAAAGTTACATTCTCAGTAAAATTGTGCAACTAGGGGAGAATGAAGATTTGAAGGCTTTTCTAATTTTTTCAAGTGTCGCGCCTTATATGCCTAGACATAGAACTATAAGTTTCCTATTTTTCAGAATTCCACATAAATGAAGCTGGAACGACCCCAAATCTAGCATGAAAGATGGATCACATGATCTCCAAGTCAAGAAGAATTCTTTCTTAGTTTGTGTCCAATATCGTTTTGGATTTTGTTTTTCTAGGAGGGCTTTTACCAGACCTTTTAGTGTTTTTTTAGTATAAATATATGTCCTATGATCTCTCTACATGTCACCATACACACAAATTTGCCCAAAAGAGAAAGGGGTGCTTAGGAACACATCACCGTTGTTATTTCATGACTTATTGTTATTAATTTGACTATGTGTAACTAAACACCCTTGCTAGGCAATGATGAAACCCTAATATGATAATCTAGTTTTCTTATTTTGCCTGTCTTACGATTGCCTTTTAATATGGGATTCTTAATCACCGTGCTTATTATCTTGACGCTTAGCTACCATAAAGATTCTTAGTTGAGTTACTTGATGTAAATTAGACTAAATATTATAAAAAGATGATGGAGACGAGTTTTGAACCCATATCCTAGGCCACTGTAAAGAAGTGGTAATACCACTTGTGCTAAGACTCAAGTTTGTAATATTATACACATGCTACTATATATATATATTTTTTTTTATTTTATGTAAATGCATGCAAATTTGAAAAATCAGGGGCGCTTCTGATTTAGGGGCCCTGTGCGGTGGCACCTATTGCACCCACTCAGGGCCGGCACTGGTTGTAGGTGTTTATCTAGACGTTCTCTTTCTTTTGTGTCAATTGTTAGTTTTGAGTCCGTGTGTAATGGTTGCTTGGGGCACACGTTAACTCTGGTGGGGGATAATGTCTATGAAACTTCAGCTACTTTCCAGCACTCAATTACCTTTCAGAGTTCAAATTTTAATTATGCAGATGCTGCATTCATGGTCATCTTTGCAAGACACGTTTGAAATTTGTTAGTAAATCTCGTAACAATTCCAAGTTGATTCAAGCTTCACTCGTTCGTTAAATGTTAATTTATCTTTGTTATTAGCCCAGCCCACACAAATAATGGAGAGTTAGGGCCGCATTAGACTAAAAAGGAAACAAAAAAGGAAAATTTTATTTAAACCCATGCAACCTCTTTTTACACCCAACTTACTATTTCCACCCATTTAATTTTTAACTAAACTATTAATATCTCTTTAAACCCAAATTTAATACCTAATATACCCCCATAAACCCAATTCAATATGTGGATTTATTTTTACACCCATTGAAGCTGCCCCAGTATCTCCTGGTCACTGATGCACGAGAAATGCTTCATGATGCTTGTACAACATTTTCGGGTGTCCACTACTCTAATCCCTCCCCCAAATCGCTCATTAATTTGCATTTGCTAACAAATATCTTTGGGAAGTTAATGCCTTCGGTTATTGCTGTGGAAGAAAGTCGCCCTGGCGGAGTGAAAAATTCTTGGGATAATTTTACACCTCTGTAAATTGAATGAATTTGGTTTAAGTAACTTGTGCTTATGAGGCGCATTCGTCCAAGACACTAGCTAATTTCAATAAACAAGGGGCTCAATTCAAAGCTTGAAAAAAGCCTGTCATGCCAGAGAGAGTATGAATTGGAAAAGGAATTTAAAGAAGTAAAAGGGCATGTTACGGATTTAAAGGCTCATTTGATGGACAAGGAAACAAAACTGCAGAGTATGAAACACTCAGGTTGGAAATCAACAAAAGCCAAAGTAAAGTTAACAATGAGGTAGAGGCGGAAGTAGAAGCTGCAAGGTGTGCAAAACGAGAGGCTCTCGTGAAGCTTGGCATTGTGATGGAGGAGGCAGAAAAGAGCAGCAATAAGGTAGCAAGAGTGGTGGAACATAAGAACCAAACGGAATTCAAGGTTCTTGCAATATCAGTAAGATTTTTGGGGTGTAGTGGGAAACCGATTGCATCAATTTACTGTTGCAAAAAGATAAACAAACTATGAATGATTGATTGAAATTTTGATTGAAAAAAAATTATAACCAAAATACTCATCTTCTAAACTCTAAAAAATTGAAATTGAACGAATAAAAAATTCATAAATTGAGTCATATCTTGGTTGGAGGATTCAAACCTTCAAAATCACCATCCATCAGTAGAAAAACTTATTTTTCTTTATGAGAGCTATTAGGGTTTTAGCTAGAATGAACGTAGGGTAAACAAAGAATGATTGTATGGTTTAATTATAGTGTTCGGGTTTATTGATAAATTTGAGTTTTATTATTAATTTCATTTTTTACTTAATAGTAATTATACAATAGGGTAAAATAGACAGTTAATTTTAAGTTTGGTGTAAAAAGAAGTTGCATGGGTTTAAATAAAATTTCCCAACAAAAAAACGGAGATAATCAAATTAAATATGAAGGGTATTATAGTCAAATTCCAGTTTGAAGGTTTAGTATTTAAGTAAGGTTTAGCATACCATATAATCCAACTAAAACAAAACAAAATAAAAAAGAACTCGTGCAACTGCAATCTCTCTCTGACAAAACCATGTACCGCCGAACCAAAGCCACGTCGAAGGCGAAGGCTAAGTCCAAGTCCAAGTCCCTCGCTGGACAAGGATCCGGGAAGGGGAAGAACCCAATTCCAGCCCAATCGACGAAGCTCCGAGGTGAGATTCGGAGTCCTTTTAGTTTGCTTTTCAATTTTCGTTTTTAGGGTTTGTGAGGAGGAAGATTATCTGTAATTTCCAATTTACAAAAGCATAACTGGCCTACGTATGCTCGTTGCAATCTGCATATATTTTATTATTTTAAGGGTTACAGAGCTTGAACTTAATTAGGCTTCTTGATGCCTTGTTCATAAAAATTCAAAATCCCTTCTTATGTTGAAAATATGTGTTTTTATTTTATTTTATATATTTTATAAATTAATTCGTTTAATTATTAATAGCTAGATATTCTTTCCACAGTCAATTAAGATACTTGATTGATCTGCCCCGTTACTGAGGATAATTTTCAACTGAATTTCGTAGCTAGCTAGATGATATTCTATTCACAATCAATCAATTATCGCAATTCAGTTTGATTTGGTCGGTTACTTGTGTCGAAAGAATTTTCAACAAAACTTCGTAGTCGTAGGAAATGAATTTTTTTTTTTTCGACATACATAATGCATTCAAAAATAGTCCCAATGGCCGCTTGAATTGTACTTTATTTGATGCCGCTTGGCGTCGATCGTCTTAACGATAAACGATATTATCGTTGGAAATAGAATGGTTATTTTCGAGGGTATATATATTCATGTTGTCGGAATTTGGTTGACTATTTTTTTATGAGAAGTATGTCCTCCCGATAATGTATTCATATTTTTTAAGGATTCGTTAGGAATTGGCCTTTATAGAGTCTTTTTAATTCTTTTTATTAATTTAGTCAATTTGCGAACTTATGATATATTTTTTTTCATAAATAGACTTTTCGGAGATTTTTTTATAGTCAATCGGAAGGAAGCTTAAGAGGATTAAGATAGTTATGTTCAACTTTCACGTTTTTTCATGAAGTCAAACATTCCAGTTCTACAAATCAATCCCATAAAAGTTACATTCTCGTTAAAATTGTGCAACTATGAGAGAATGAAGATTTGAAGGCTTTTCCAATTTTTTCAAGTGTCGTGCCTTATATGCCTAGACATAGAGCTATAAGTTTCCTATTTTTCAGAATTCTACATAACTGAAGGTGGAATGACCCCAAATCTAGCATGAAAGATGGATGACATGTTCTCCAAGTCAAGAAGAATTCTTTCTTAGTTTGTGTCCAATATCGTTTTGGATTTTGTTTTTCTAGGAAAGTTTTTACCAGACCTTTTAGTGTTTTTTTAGTATAAATATATGTCCTATGATCTCTCTACATGTCACCATACACACAAATTTGTCAAAAAGAGAAAGGAGTGCTTAGGAGCACATCACCGTTGTTATTTCGTGTACTATTTGTTCTTTTTCATGACTTATTGTTATTATTTTGACCATGTGTAACTAAACAACCTTCCTAGGGTTTGCATGGTTTTCAAGATTTTCACAAAATGTAATGAGTTTTTGTACGTTCATAATTGTACTAAATGCCATAGACAAGGTGCGTGTTGAGATATACGGGTGAGCCTAAATACCATAATGGTAGTTTATGCGTAAGGAAAACTATTCAACAACATCAATTGAATTAATCAACGGATAGGTAATATAGAAGCTAGGTTGGATTACTAGTGGTGGATTTGATGTCCTAGTGCCTTCATATCTTAATTTTCAAAATTCATCATTGTCTTGGTTTAGTTTATCTTGTTAATTTTAGTTTTAATCAATCCTTAAATTCAATTCGTTTGTATAATTAAGTTTGGTGTAATTATTGGTTTAAATGGTTTTAACGCAATTCCTGCAAAATTGACCTCGTACTTGCATATCTATACTACTATTGAGTCGTGTGCTTGCGAGTTA